GCGATCTCTCCTGCACAGTCACACTCCGGAACAACAGGCAGAAGCCCAGCCCCACGTGGTGTGGCGCAGCAAACCCAGAAGGACCAGAAGACAGGGAGCCCGGGTGTGGATGGGCTAGTGCTGGCTAACACGCGAGAGCTTGCAAACACAGGCTTCCTCCCGGGGTACATTTTAGAATAGAAACACTTCACGGAGCTTGGTCAGTGGCTCCACATTCAGGATCAGAACTTCCTCTGCTCTCTCAAGGTGAGGGAAGAGCACTCTCCTTTCCAGAATGATCCTTTCACCGAGCGGACAGCCATGTGGCTGCCCCTCAGAGGACCTCAGAGGACGGGGCCCAGCGAAGGCCCGCACTCACCTGGTGGATGATGTAGATGCCGTAGTCCAGCTGCTGCCTCTGCAGGAAGGGGTGCAGGTGCTCCAGCAGGTATATCAGGTGCTTCTCTCTGTTCCGGTGGGGAATGAGGATGGCCACCCGCTGCAGGGCCCTACATCCCTCGGGATGACACCGGCCTCTGGACACTCTGGGGTTTTCTGCCTGCACTTCCTCCAAAGTGAGGTCTGGTTTAAAAATGAGCTTGCTCTGGCCTCCTGCAATCAACACGGGGCACTGTCACAAGAGGGGCCGCTACATGAGGCTCTAGGGTTCACACGGCTAGTTCGGATGAAGGGTTGGCACTTCCTGTGCCTGGGCGAGCAACTCTGCCTCCATGATCCATTTCTGAAGGAGGCAAGCAGACTGCACAGCCACCACACTGCTCACTAGAGATCAGAAAGGGCTGAGTAGCTCCTCCACCAAAGAAGGATGGAACAGAAAAGCCGAGAACATTCCATAGACTCTGATTCCCTCACAGGGCCCTTTTCCTACTTCTGCCCTATACCCCCCATGCTTAGCACCCTGCAGGCAAGGCACTAGGAAGGAGCTGAAGCCCACCAGACTCCCTAGCCAGGGTGACTAGGACATATACTCCACACCTCCCCGAACGGCACCAGGGCAGACATTTCCAGCTAACACAGCATCTGCCAGTGAAACTCAAGACTGTGGTAATCAATCCTGGGGAAGGCTTCAGAGAGCAGAATGAAGTAACTAACCCCCATTTTCTGACCTGATTTCAAAGGCTATTCTGACAAGTAAGGGAAGGAGACCTAATTCTGCTTAGGAACTAAGATAACCTTCCCTGTTCCTTACACCCCCTTTTAAGATCCCACAAACCGTGGACAAGCTGCTTACAAGTTGTGAGTGCAGCCTCTCTCAACAGCCTGAGGCATGCTAAGAGAGAAGGATTGCAGTTTCCACAGCAGGCTAAGAACAGGTCTGCAGGGTGTCCCAGGCCACACTACAGACCACTCTCATGGTGCACACAGGGAGCCACAGATGCCTGTCTGGGAAAGCTCTACTACACAGCTAGAACAGGGCACCCCGTTACACGCTGCTTGCTGACTGTCTCTCCAGAGATAGAGACACTAACAGACAAGCACCACACTGTGACCAACACAGCGGGTGGAGCACACAGGGAGCTGAGATTTCCTGGGGCTGGGCAGATACTTACTAAGGTTTGGAGACACAGAAGGGCAGTTGTCAAGTTCTGCTTTCTCTATGATTGCATCATGGGCCAGAGTTTCTTTCTTCCCCAAAGGAATGACCTTGTGGAAATTAGCCATGAAGTCCTTTGCCTTGGGGATCACTTGAATGGGACCCACGAAGTAGTTGCTGGTGGCCCAACCAACCACAGTCAGGCACAGGGTAAAGAACAACAACAGTCGTAGTCTGTAGGGGAGGAGGCATGGCGGGTTGCAGCCCATGGCTCTTATTTTGTGGGTAATGCGTATCTCTGCTTCAGCTGGAGTGAAGAAGTTCCAAATTATACTTTTCCGGTCCGACTGAGAACGTGACCACAACCTAGGAGTTGATGTCTGCCACGGCCCAGCAGGTCTAGTTCCGAGACCACTGAAAGGCAATCACAAAGGATGTGTTGTTTGGGGTGGAAATCCGGTCCTGAAATGACAGACCTCAGCACACATTAGAAACCCAATCCCAGTTGAGTTGCAATCTCAGTGAGATGCTAGCCCAGGGCAAAGTCCCGAAAGAGGTAGGATGGGACAAGAAACACAAGGGGACCCAAACAGAAGATGTCAACAATCCATGAGAAAAACAAGTAAAGATCAGGGACTCGGGTTCAGACAGAGAGCACAGCTCCGTCACCTATCAGCCACGAGATCTATGCCCGGGCACTTCAATGAGCCTTGCCTTCTTTATCTGGAAAGTGGGGGTAAAATGATACCTACCTAGATAACATCTACCTTCCTGCAGGGCTGGACTAGCAAACAAAGTCCTGACCAGCCTCCTGCACAAACTCAAGTGGCCACCAGATAGTGACCATTACTCTCCCTGCTACATGAAAGAGGCCAGGGATGGCCAGTGAGCAGATGTACTGGAAGCCACCTGGACCGCCGCTGTACCAATGGTGTTTTTCATAGGTGATAAGTTGTCCTGATTTCATACTTCAAATACCATGAGGTGGGGTGATACAAATGCACCTCTACGAGGAGCTATGCTCTTAGTTACTAACAAAAATCCAGCTCTTCAGGGTACTTAGGATCCACCACCAATACTGGTAAATTCACTAGATGGTAAGGATACTTGCTGAGGATTTGTGGGGCACAGCTTACAGCACCCCCACATCCTCTCTGTGCCATCAAAGTCACATTATGCCTCAAGCCAGACTTTGGATCATTTCCATAGCCCAGTGGACCATGCTAAGTAAGAACCAACAAGGAAAGGTTCCTGGTTAAATCTGAAGAGATAAGAAAGAAAGAGGAAATGCATACATAGACTAAGTATGTATGCCACCCACTCTGAGATCCTCATCAGAGCTGGCTGGAGCCCTCCCTGACGGGCAACTACGGCTCTGTGTGTCCACTGAGAGACCTGTCTGTGGGGTCACCTGGGGTTCTGTGCAGGCCTGTTCTTAGGCAGCTGCACAGATTGCAGGCCCTCTGTCTCACCCTGCTTGTCTGTTACAATAAAATGAGGGGTTTGAGCTCTGCCGCTTCTGGGATCTTTCTGGAAATCTCAGAGTGGGGTACAGTATGGTCAGTCTCTCGTTAGAGCCCCTCGTACTGGTTATATCCCCAATGGCTTTTCCTTGGAACATGTGTATAAACACAGACAGACAGACAGACAGACACACACACACACACACACACACACACAGAGAGAGAGAGAGAGAGAGAGAGAGAGAGATTAAAATCCAAATTTCATATCGCTTGCTCTTTTTATATGACTATTAACTCCAACATGAAGGCTGAACCCTCATGACCTCACCTTAACCTAAATGTCCCAAAGGGGTGGTGTACTTTTGCCCCACCTTCAAGCACCATCACATTGGGAACCAAGGCTTCAACACAGAAGGAAAATGGGGGCAATAGACAAACAACTTCCTGTGAGATAAGAGTTTTAGTCTACTTGTCTATAAAATTACACTTCTGTGGGGCGGGGCACAGGCACAGAGCTTAGAGGACAGCTTGTGGATCTGATGTTCTCTCAGCTCATGATGAAACTGCCCGGGGGTGAGACTGAGGCGTCAGGCTCATCATAAGCACCTTGACCCACTAAAGCCACGCACAAAGGACAGCTGAGCTGCCCGGGACCGCACACCTGGTTAGAGGGCAGAGCTGGGTGTGAGTCCCTGTGCCCATCAGTCACAACCCTCAGGCAGACGCTTTGTTTCTTCCCTCACGCCTGGATAGGCCCAACACACTCAACAGAAACGTGCAGGTGCCTCTGGTGGCCCTCTAACTCCCCTCCATCTTCCTGTCCCTCTCCTGGGACGAGTTCAAATGCCTGCCTGGAGGCCTGCTCTCTTCCCCTCAGCTGGCAGGAAGTCATCAGGACTCTGGGCCAGCGAGACAACCTCTCGTGGACTTGTGAACTTCATTTCAGGGAAACTTCAGTGCGGGGACTGGTGATCGTGCTTCATAAAAACCTTTTGTAAATCTGGCCCCTGAACACTGCTTTTCTAAAAGCTATTTATGGGGACACTGCCTGGAAACGCCCAAGGAATTCAAGGAGCCTACGGTCACAAAATGACTGCCGTGTAAGCCGTGGGATGGAAAACAAGAAAAAAAGAAGCAGGAAGGATTTTTTAAAACCTCACGTGTAGGGCTCTCATTTGCAGTGTGTGGAGAGGCTTGACTTAAAGAAATTTCAAACCTGGCTCGGTGGTGGTGGTACATGCATTTAATCATTTAAGCCCTTGAGAGGCAGAGGCAGGCAGATCTCTGAGTTCCAGGCCATTCTGGTCTGTAGAGCAAATTCCAGGACAGGCAGGGCTACACAGAGAAACCCTGACTTGAAAAAAAAATAAACAAACAAACAAATAACCTACATGGGTGAGGGGAGAAGTTCGAAACCTTCATATCTTCAGTTCAATTTCGTGAACCTAAAACTGCTCTAAATACTTTTTAAAGATTGTATGTGTAATTATGCATCTGTCTGCATACGGGTATGCACGTGTGAGTGCAGATACCAACAGAGGCCAGAAAAGAGAATCCTATCCCCTGCAACTGGAGTTACAGGCAGCTGTGAGCTGCCCAGTGTGGGTGCTAGGAACTAAATGTGAGTCCCTCTGGAGGAGCAGTAGTCTTGATCATGAGCCAAGTTTTAAGAACTCTCCCTGAGAACTGAGGAGCTATGAATAATGATAAACTAATATTCCCAAACTGCAGTATAAAAAATGTGTTCAAAGACAAGACACCTATCCTCAGAGCAGAGTGTAACTAACGCTTACTTAGGAATTAGACCTCCATCCCTTCATTTATTGATATTAACTCTGGCCCAGCTAAAAACAATCACTTACCCCTCATAAGCCTAAGAGTCCTCCATAAAACTGATGGTACAGAAGAAAGTCCAAAGGCAAAAGTCCTCGTTTCTGTGGTGAAAAACAAGAGAGGTAAAGCATTAGAACACCTCTCTGTATTCAAGAGAGATTTCCCCTACCCCATCCTCAGCTAAGTGACCGGAGGCTTGGGGACAAGCTCTCTCCACGTTTCCCCAGCTCATGGAAAACGTGGGAGGACGGAACATGCTCACTTCATAATGACATCGTAAGAATTTAATGAGAAGACACGCCCAAACACCTGCCGTATTTCCAGAGCTACAAGTATTTGCTCTCTATCACCATGATTCATGTGGTATCAGAATATTAACCGAGATAATCACAATCATACCCCTGCTGAAGTACACACTCAAGTTAACAATTTCCACTTTTCTTCCCATGAGTATATAATACTTTTATGATTAGAAACATGATGACATTTCAAAAGAAAATTATCCCTGGGGCAGGTAACTCCCGGGTGGTGCTCAGGAAGGCATCATCAGACTTCTTTGTAGTATTCTTTAACTGTGAGACCCTCCCTCTTCCTGAGCCATTCTTGTATTTAATCAAGACTTTTATATGGAAAATGATGGGGGGGGGAGAGATCTGCAGAAAGCCAATTCAGACAACATTAAGGCATTATTTTAGGGCAGTAGGGCAGTCCTCACCCACCTTTCCTTTCTAGAAATCTGCCCTAGAGTTTTATTTTCTTTTCCCTCAAGGTAACAGCTGTGCTCTGAGCACCTGGCACTTTTAAGCACAGGCTTAGACCGCGCCGGCCAGAAAGGGAAGCACCGCCCTTATTTAGTTCAGTCTTTTTCCAGACCTTAAATGTCTGCAATTTGTTTTTCAAGTATGTTTGCCATTCCAGAGTAGAGTCCATACGTGAAAAGATGAGTAAAACATTGAGATAGGTAAGTGATATTAACCTAATGGCCCACTGTGTTTCTACTCCTGTGCTTTTTAAACTTTCCATAATCATAAAAATAATCTAATAAGGAAAATAAGCTATAACCAATAGCAACATGACACAACCATCCATTCTTGGGACATCTCTTAGCGATACAGCATCTCCGTGCCTCCAATGCCGATATGTGGGAACCAAATTTATGCACTAAGTGCTCATACACCAGACAGAAGGGATGTGGTGGCATTCGGCAGCTGGTGAGCAGTAACGTCAGCATGTCAATACCTCCGAGGCTGTCCACACATACCACAGACAGGGCGTGTGCGTGGGCACGTGGCCCCAGACACTTGCTCCTGCAGCTTCAGACTGCTGGTGGCTGGTGTTCCACCAGAGCTCCCAGGAACGGACTACTATACAGACTTTCCCACTTTCCTTAGGGCTCGACTACAAACTCCTAGGGAGCTTCGAGTGATCACTGTCCTGACACCTCTGACACCTTTGAAGTAAGAATGGGACAGAAATGACAACAACCATTACCACGTAGGAGTCAGCAAGATGGCTTATTAGGCAAGGGAAGCTGTTACCAAGGTTGCCAACCTCAATTTGGCATGGTAGGACAGAAACCACTCCCACAAGTTGTCCTCTGACCTGCACAGGTGACTCATACACATACACACACACACACACACACACACACACACACACACTAAATAAACAAACAAGCATTAAAATTTTAAGTCACTTCAACTCCCAAACTGGAAGCATTTAATAATATTTTTACTCTGGCCCTGTTTTATAGCATACAGAATAAAATTAATTTCCTTGTGTATATATACTGATATAGGTGACCAAATAAAAAAAAGGGGGGGGATTGGAGACAAAGGTAGCTCTTTCTCATAGGAAATTTCCAATTTAGGACCCAGGAGGAAAAAAGTCACCACTAAGCAAATACTACAGGCATCATTGCTTCTGTCCAGCTTCACCAATTAATGAATGGGAATTTGAGGATGAACAGTTTTGTGCTCTGCTGAGCTGGAAAGACTCTCCGCCAGGAGATATCCACAAGCAGGAACTAACATTACCAGGTGAGATCTGCCAACCTTGCACACCTGTTGATTGTATTGATAAATAAAGGTCATCAACAGGACTTAGAAATAAAATCTAGATAGTATTGATAAGAGGTTTTGTGGCTGTGTAAAGGGGTTACTCTATTAGAAGAAGCTAGATGAACTTTATCATTTTCAAAATTTTTAAGCAATCTAAAAGTATTATAAAATATTTAAAAAAATCATAAAGTCAGAACCTGAGTAGAGCCCCAATTAACTGAATTCTCAGAAAGATTCCCAACTCTGTGTATTCCTGATGTCTCAAATCAGCCTAGCACATAACTTTCTAAATCATGCTATATGAATATGGACATAACAAAAATCACGCCTAGTGAAGAAAGAGATGCCATATTTAAAAAGAGAGAAGGAAGCTGGGTGGTGGTGGTGCACACCTTTAATTCTACCACTTAGGAGGCAGAGGCAGGCAGAACTCTTAAGTTTGAGTCCAGTCTGGTCTACAGAGTGATTTCCAAGACAGCCAGGCTATGCAGAGAAACCCTGTCTTGAAAAGCCAGACAGAGACAGAGAGAGACAACAGACAGACAGGGAGAGAGAGGGAGCGAGAAGAAGGGAGGGAGGAAGAAAGGGAGGAAGGGAGGGAGAGAGGGAGGGAGAGAGAGAGAGAATGAGCATGGAAAATAAAGACTAACAGGAAAGGGAGGGTTTAAACATATACAAAGCATCTTAGGGGAAGTCTGACAGTAGAAAAGGCTCACCCTTCAATTTACCTTTCTAAAACAGTTCTGGATTGTGCCTGCTACTTCCTCCCCTCTATTCAGAAGGGAGAGGCTGCCACTCTGCCCACCCCTTCTGTGTACTGTGTGAGCTCCTCTTAGCTTTCTGTCCAATAGTGCACATTCTTGAGAAAACCAGCTTCGAAAAGAACTATTTTGACTCGCAGTGTGATGTGTTTCAGCCCATGGTCAGCCGGCCTCATTGTTTACGGGCTGTGGTGAGGCAACACATCATGGTAGGAGGCATGTAGGAAGCAAAGATTCTTACTCTGGAGACAGGAAGGGGCAAGGATACACTACCCCTTCAAGGGCATGCCTGCGGCTCCACAACACCCATTTTATACATTTTATAACAGTTGCCAGGAAACATGAAGAAAGCCAAACAAAGGACTGAGGTTGTTTCAAGTATTGTATGTTTGCAGAAGTCACAAGAATTTTTGCCGGGAGTTTTCAGGAGAAGCTCATGGAGTGTTTCTATGTCATGTTCAGCCCTCTGAGAATTCTGTAGTGGGGGTCAGCAGAGTCCACCTTCTGATCGTAGAACACAGGCCACAGAATCAACTAAGCAGGACTCCCAGTGCCCAAAGTGACAAACATGAATCCCGTATGGCTCTGAACGAGGACCTCTGCATATACCTTATGGTTGTGTGACTTGGTGGTACTGGGACTCCCACAGTGGGAGTGGGGCTGGGGACGTGTCTCTGACTCTTTTGCCTGCACTTGGGACCCTTTTCCTCCTACTAGGTTGCCTTGTTCAGCTATGATATGAGGGTTTGTGCCCAGTCTTATTGTAACTTGTTAAACCAAACTGGGTGGATATCCTTGGGAGGCCTGTTTGTTTGTTTGTTTTTGTTTGTTTAAGAGAAAGAGACAGGAAGAGGTGCGCTGGGGGGGAGAGGGGAAATGGGGGAGGGACTGAGAAGAGTGGGGAGAGGGGAAATTTCAATGGGAATGCTATGTATGAAAAAAGAACAAAAGTTTAAAAAAGGTGCACCTTCTGCTGTCATTACAGGTCAGGAGAAAGTTGTGTTTCTAATCCAGGGTTGGGGGGTGGCTCATTACCAAAAACAATGCTGTTCCTTTATGGTAAAAATAACTAATTGTCCATTAAAACAGTCTAAAAGTTTAAAATGACATTATTATAGACAAGGAACAGAAACATTCAGTCACATAAAGTTGGCAGCAACTTGATTGTGTAAATTTTAAGAGGATCTATTCTATATATGCCCTCCAAACCCTCATCTACACACACACACAGACACACACACACACACACACACACACACACACACACACAGTCAGTTAACTTCAGGACTAGCCAGAGCACCGTAATCCTGTGTGCTCTTCTTAAAATACCTATTTCTGGGTCCACACCCAAAGGTTTTGTTTCAATAGTCTAGGGTGGAGCCAAGAAATTTATATTTTAAACAGGAACCTGGGTAATTCTAACACATACCATTGTTCACTGATGATTAAAAGAAAAAAAAAGGCCAGAATAACCAGGAGTCACCTGTGGTTCATGGCTTAATTGTTCTGTTAGTTTGTTCTGTTCTGGTTCATGGCTATAATATAATCACTGAAAAAACTGGAACAGGAGGATTGCCTCCAAGTCCCAGGCCAGTATGGACTGTATTCACTAGTTCCAGGCCAAGACTAACTTGCTTTGGATGTTCCCACTGTGGAGAAAAGGTCTTTAAGGAGACATTTGATGGTTTGCTTCCAAGGCATTTGTACTCACCTCCGGATAAAGCACACACCATTACTAGCCCAGCTTAGAGAAGGTACTAAGTACTTACCTCAAGTGGCACATAAAACGTAATTAACAGAGTCGCTGTTAGGGTCCTCCCTGCCTATTCTTCCTCAAGCCGTTCAGCATGGCCAGCCATTCTTTTTGAGATGGTTTTAGCCCTCAAAACTGTGGACTTCTTTATACAAATATAGTCAGATACACAAACGCTTGTTTTCCGTGTCCACAAAGCCCAAACCTGTTCTTTAAAATTAACTTTAAAAAAGAAGAAGAAGAAGAAGAAGAAGAAGAAGAAGAAGAAGAAGAAGAAAAGAAAACGAACCAACAAAACATTGTGTCCTTCCCTGCTGGAAACTGTGGATTTCTTTCAAACATAGTCGGATACACAAACGCTTGTGATATCTTATGGAGTTTTCCGTGTCCACAAAACCCAAACCTGTTCTTTAAAATTAACTTTAAAAAAGAAAAAAAGGAAGAAAAGAAAACGAACCAACAAAACATTGTGTCCTTCCCTGCTGGCACTCTCCAGCAGGGTGCTGGGACAGCCTTCCACACCCTATCTTGAATTTCACTTGCTCTACCTGTAACCCGTCTGAGATTCCTTGAGTTTCTTACATCCTGGGAAGATTCTTCACACACAGACACACACACACACACACACACACACACACACACCAGCTAATTGTTTTTAGAATGAGACAGACAGAGGCCTTTTCTAACTCTCAAATTACCTTCTTTCTGCTCTTTCATCACCAAACCAGTGGGGAGACAACCAGAGCCAGGGCAGCTTCCCTTGCTCTTGACTGTCCACCTCCCTACACCTTGCAACCTCAGGCTCCCTCAGAGTCCTAATTATCGCCCCCAAAGGCCTTTGCTGGGTACTAATCACCCTCACCCATCAAAACCTGAACCCCGTACTAACAGTTAATCACCCTTATCTAAGAAACGCCAGAACATCAAGAGATACGGATCCACAGACCCTAGCGGCAGCAGGTGTGTCTGAAGTCCTTCAAATCCCCTATGACAACCTCCTGCTAAGGACACTCAGCACTCGCCCGGCCCTTATGGGCGCGGAAGTACAGCTCAGCTGTGTCGTCTCCCCAGGTGAAACCCTGCCTAGCCTAATCCCACCAAGATGGGCCTTTTCCAGGTGGAGGAGCCTGGAAGCCAGCACCAGGACGCGGGGCGCTGAGGATGCACCCGGCATCTCCCGGCTGCGCGCAACATCTCCCCCCCCACACACACACACACACACACACACACACACACGCCCTCCGCAGCTCCCCGGGCGCTGGGCGCCCGCACCCGATCCGGGGTGGGCCTCTGCAGGCCCCCAGCCCGCCGGCTACACGCGCTGCGGGACGTGGGACAGCCGCACCGAGACCCGATCGCGCAGACTCCGCGCCCTCCCGGCCCTATCCGGTCGACCCACCAGGCCCGCAGCCGGGCGATGACCGCTCAGAGCGCGCAGCCGCGGAGCTCCGGCCCGGCTTACTCACCCCGGACGCGGCCACTTTGAGGCCGCCCGGGGAAGGGGAGGTGGTGAGGAGCAGCCCCGGGGATGTCCCTCGGGGATTGCGCCGCCAGGAGGCGGCCCTACAGCCCCGGCTCCGCCTCGCACACAATGCCATCGGGAGGCGGGTCTGCCCGGTTCCCCAGGGACTTGGCGCCACCGGCCGGCCTGGCCAGCCCCACAACGCGCTGCAGGGGCTTGAGAGAAAGAAGGGATGCACAACTCAGCCTTTGCGAGGACCACAGACCTTTCTGCGGCTTGCGAGCTAGGCCCCTGGCGCGTCTCACATTCCATCCCCGGGGACGTCACCGGAACCTGGGAAAGAGATCGAAACCCTCTGCTTTACAGAACAGGAAAACGACGCTTTGGACTCGCAGGAATGTGCAACCCTTTCGCTTCTCTGGGCAACACTGAGTGAAGCTTGGCCTTAGGCACATCCTAGAATCCAGAGGTCCGCAGTTACGCGTTTATTTTGCGTGACATTGCCAGGCGACATTGTCATCTACAAAGCTCACGCTTGAGAACCCAGAAATCGCGTACCAAGACAAA